TTATCTGAAACTTTTAGATTGGATTATATTATCAGTGCCTTTATCATCATGCACAGTTTGTTGAGAAACTGGTTTTGCTGGATTACCTGTTTTGCCTACCTTTAAAATGTTTCATTGTTGCAATGCTTAAATTGTATAATGTTATCTTGATTTATTTTCTGTAACACCAATTTCAAGGACAAGCTCTCTTCTGTACCCCTGACCTGATAAAAGACTTGTATTATAACTAATTAATCCAAATAAATTTAAACTGTGCACATGCAAACACGGTGTGTTCATCAGTCTTTAATGTTTTAAAGCCTCTATATGAGAATTGGGTGCTTTGTATGTTAAAAGTAGTGATTACTACAGTGATTACAAAGTTTTTTGTTTCATTTCTTTCACATGTGCATAGACACGATTTAGCTCCTAGACAGACCGGCTATTTGTAGCCCACTTTTAGTCAAAAATGATTAAAAGTGTGTTTTTTCCCTGGCAGCACTTGAGATGGTTGATATATTATTTTTGCAATGTCAATAATATCAAAAAGATATTAAGTGTCATTAAATTCACATGGTCTATCTGTAGCAACGATTTAGCTCTTATTTGGCTGCTTTTAGCCCACCCGGCGAAATAGAGGCAATCAGTGGTTTAATATCAACGGCTTGGCTGTAGCCCTGTTTCAGGCCAAATAGGTTACATGTAGTTTTTACCCGATGCAGCTGTTGAGGTGCCTGATATCATGTCATCAAATGCAAGTAAACGTTTGAAACGTTGAAACGTTTGTGGGGGGCTGGAGCCAATCCCAGCTGGCAAAAATACAATAAACATTTATATTATATTATATTTCTTACAGTAGCAGGAATAAGATGCCAAAACAAACATGCAACAAGGAGTTCATGCGCTACAGAGCTTAAGTAGAAATGCAGCTGGAGGCGACAGAACATAAAAGCACAAGCTACAGTTCATAAAACCACTAGAGTCAATATTAAGAACACAGTCAAAGACATTAGTCAGTTATAGTACAAAGCTTAAGAGGCAGAATAAACATTAAAAAGCAGCAGTATCGATATTAAATAAATAAAAACATGCAGGATGACTCAATAAAGCGGCGTTGGAAGTTGGAAGTTCAGTGCTGGCATGTTTGACTGCTAAGGAGCCAACGTTTTAATGATGAGCAGAATACATTATAACTATTAATTTCTCTGATTGACGTTGGGATGTTGTTCCATTCTTTTGAAGCTTTAATAGAAAAGGCTGACTGACTAATCGCAGTTTTCCTGAATGGAATAACACAGTCCCCTCTGGATGTTCCTCGAGTGAGGCGACTGGAGTTGGACCATAAACTCAGAAACTCAGAAAGAGGTGGAGGGGCCAGGCCATGGAGGATTTTATATGCATCTGGTTACCTTCCTCTGGTCAGGTTCTGCGGTGTCTCTGTGAGTGACGAGATATTTTTCCACGATGCCACTCTGACGCTATTCACACAAACTGCACTGAAAGATATGAACTGGACTCTGAGAGAAAACCAGTCAGAAGGGGACATTTAAAACAAGGTGTTTAAATAATAAATAAACAATGAGATGAGGTTTCTACACTAGAATCAGACTTTCACTCAACAAAGTCTAAAGGAAAATAAGTAGTTACAATTATCTAATACTTGTTCACCTAGTAACATTTTGCTAATTTAATAACAGACTCAAATTCAATAATCCATCTTACCTTCTTTTCTTTTGAGACAAAGTCTGTTAATTTATTTAATTATTAGATTAGATTAAAGGACTTATGTCTCAGCAGGACCTGGAAAAACTTATCCATGCATTTATCTTCAGTTGACTCGACTACTGTAACAGTGTCCTTACAGGCTCCCTAAGAAATCCATCAGACAGCTGCAGCTGATTCAGAACGCTGCTGCTCGAGTCCTCACTAAGACCAAAAAGGTGGATCACATCACTCCAGTTCTGAGGTCTTTACATTGGCTTCATGTATGTCAAAGAATTGATTTCAAAATCCTGCTGTTAGTTTATAAAGCACTAAATGGTTTAGGGCCAAAATACATTTCTGATCTTCTGCTTCGTTATGAACCATCCAGACCTCTCAGGTCGTCTGGGATCAGGTCTGCTTTCTGCCCCCAGACTCAAAACTAAACAAGGAGAAGCAGCGTTCAGTTATTATGCTCCGTATATCTGGAACAAACTCCCAGATAACTGCAGGTCTGCTGAATCTGTCAGTTCTTCTAAATTAAGACTGAAGACTTTTCTTTTTACCATCGCTTTTAATTAAATATTTCAGATTTTTCTTTTTACCACTGCCTTTAACTAGTAGATTGATAACTGACACTGCACTGTAACTTTTACTGTTTTTTTCTTTGTTTTTAGCTTTTTACCATTGCTTTTAATTAAATATTTACACGGTGAGAAATGAGTAGGTAATTGAGTGAAAAGATAATGAGAGTGAGATTGAACAGAGTGAAGGAAGTGGTCTTAAATCTCGCGCCTGAGTGATTTGCAGGAACCTCTGTCCACCTGTAAACACGCAGGTGGGTCCAGAGTATAACTGGATCAAAGTGGCCTGCTGACAGACATGTCCTGGTTTCTCTGTAGTGTCCGAGGGTTTTTGGAGTTTCAGTGGACCCAAAGATTGGACCCGAATACAGACTAGTTAGAGAGAGTAGATTAAGTGTACTTCTCTGTTTATTCTCTATTCAAAATAATTGTAACTCAATTATTTGCTCAACCCCTCAGCCTGTTTTTATTTTCCATTTAACTCTTTTACCCTGATTGTACACTGCACTGTAACTTTTATTATTTTTAACGTGTATTTTTTCAATTTCCCTATGTTGCTTTTAAACTTTTTTATATTTCCCTGTTGCTTTTATGTTTTATGTAAAGCACTTTGAATGTGCTATACAAATAAACTTGCCTTGCCTTGCCTTACTCTAATCTTCCCTAAAACCACCATAAAGCTGAGTAGTAAGTGCTGTACAGATCAGTGTACTAATTCATATTTTACTGACTCCCTGGTGATCAGAGGTGGAGTACACAGCTGACAATTATTTTGGTTTCACTGTGATCTGAATGGATTTCTTCTCTTCTGTTTGTCTCTAGCTTGATGTTTTGTAGAGTAGCTAATAAAGATAACAGCACCACCATGTGGACAGATGGCTGTAATGCAAGCTGTCCCACAGGTACATTCACACATTTAAGGGTTCAGTGTGTAGGTTTTAGTGGCATCTAGTGGTGAGGGTTGAGAATATCAGCCAGCGGCTCACAGTGATGTGGGAGAATGTGGTATTTTGCTTTTAGAAGTAAACATTAATAAATGTAGATTCAGCAGTAAAATAACTAATTGTACTTTTTCTCCATGAGATGTAGATTCTATCAATTCAATTTCTACATCCAACAACATAAAGGCTGTGAAAACTGTCATCATATGGTCTTCTTTTAATGTCTTCATATAATACCTATAAAACATATAAACTACCCCTAGCAAAGTTTATATTATTTGTCTTCTTATATATTTGTACTCTGTTCTGGATACTTCTTTATTCCCATGTTTATTTCTCTTATTTCTAACGATTTGATGAGGGGGAAAAAATCTGATTTTTTCCGGCACACTCTACCTTTGCAAGAGCGCAGGAGAAGCTACGGTGGCATAATAGTTTTCCATTTGTCCAAGTATCTTCTTCTTCTTTGGTAGTGACGAAACGCCCTACAGCAATTTGTCTGTTTGGTCTATTGTAGAAACATAGCGGTGCAACATGGCAACGTCCATGTAAGAGGACGGTGTATGTGGATATAAATGTCTCATTCTAAGGTAATTAAAAACATAATAGTTCATTATGTAAGGTCTTTATGCACCACTGAAAACATAGTTATGTCTATTTCTGTCAATAGATCCTTAGAAATAGTACACAGTGAACCTTTAATACTGAATCCGCTTCATTGTAGAAATGTCTGTGAGGATTCTCAGTCGTCCAGGTCATAGTTATCCAAGGAAAGCTCAAATGGACTTATGTAGCAAGTTGAGGACACGCCACAAAAATCACCACGACAAAACATTTATACAGATAAAACTGAAATGACTGTATAATGTTAATTTTCCCCATCATACCTCCAATGATACAACATGTGACAGGGACTGCATCAGATCACACACTCTTCTTGCACTTAAAGATACATAAAATAAATGTTCCCTGCCTCAAATGTCTCATTCATCACTGGGTGACCCAATTACACTGGTTATGTATGTGCACACACACACATCCTTAGAGAAGCAACAAAACATAGAAAGAAAACTATATCTCCCAAAATGCCACGGGCCATGCAGTGCCACTCTAAGCAGGTGGCAGGATGTTATGCTAAGTTTCTCAGACACTGCTCTTTTAGAATATGGTTTTATTAGCCCACCACATATTAGCTACTGGAATTGCTTTTATTAGTACAACGATCCATAAACGTCTCTTTCAGCTCCAAATGCAGACTGAAAGAGAGCCTCTCATCCAAATTACCCTTGATTTGCCCTTGATTTGCTCTTGAATATATCTTTCTTTGGACTTTCACTGTAAAGCCACCCACAGCACCAGCAGGTGGTGACATGGCTGTACTGCAGGAGGCTGTGGTCTTTCATTCAAAATACACTGATAAACATTCAGTTTACTCATGGATATGTAAAATGAAACAAACATCTTTCAGCCATATTAAAATATACTATATTAGAGTGTCTTCATATTTTCTAAATATAAATATGTTTAAAATATTATATATTATATTTAAAATAATCTAAGATTTTCACCTTAGTTTACCTTTGTTGTTGTAAACTAAACTAAAAGCGGTCTGAAACTTTGCACAATCTGTTATTTTGTTCACTTTGAGACTCACTGACACTAAATATAAAACCTATTTCCTGCTATGTGCTTGAGAGAAAACCTCATCAGTAGCAGAAATACAGAAAGAGGAAGAGGTGGGTTTTACTTGGTGTGAGTGGTGAACCTTAATGTGTTGATCTCAGATGACCAACATTTAAAATGGAGGGACCATCTTTACCGCGGCTGCTGGGTAAGTAAAAAATCTATTTAATGTGTGAATGTTTGTCTCCACGTTGTCTCAAAGATTAGTTCTAACACATTTGTGGTGTTTTTAATTAGTTTTAGAGTGAATAATGTGAATACAAAGACTGAATTCAGCCAAATACCATCAACAGACCAAATACACGTTAGCAAGAGAAGAAGAAATATTTGGCGATATGGCAGCAACAAAGTGTCATTTCAAATTGTTAACAATGTGCAGTTATTCTAACGAAATACCATATATAGTAGTTTTGCTTTATAATAGGAGAGAGGAAAAGAGGTAGAAGAAAATCACATACAATTTTTTAAACAAAAATGTATTTACTAGGGCTGCACAGTTAATCGCGATATTATTGAAATGCCTGTGTGGCCAAGTGCAAATCACAGAAGGTGCAATTCTTTGATGAAGGTATAATGTGTGACAAAACAACAGTAAAATGAAGTAATGTGGTGCTGCAGAGAGTCCCCGTCCTCCAGATCGTGTCCTCCAGAAGAAAACATGTTTGTCTGGTTCAGACCCAAACAAATTTAAATTGTGATGCAAAAAAGGTTTTTCTAGTTGTTCCACTAGTTGTGATAATTCCCAATTAGTTTTTTAGCATACCTTATAAATCTTTTTACCCAGCATCTTCAGGCAAAAGACTTCTCAGGGCCTTTGCAGACCTATTAATAGTTCCAGATGGATAACAAGAAGTGGGAAGTGAGTATGGAGGGGAGTTCAATTGTATTTATTCATCTTAGATATTTTTTGTGGTTTATTAAGTCCATATTTGGGTGTAATCACCATACAGGTCTTTTACAATCAACCTGATACAGAGTTGCTTAAAGTAGTTAAGCAGCTCTGTTCGTAGTTACAGGATGTCTGCAATGAAAACAGTGTTCAGTTTTAACATGATCCATCGTCAACCGCTTATCCAGCGTAAAGGGTCACAGGGGGCTGGAGCCAATCTCAGCTGACATTGGGAGAACATGCAAACTGCACACAGAGAGGCCGGGGCAACTGGGGTTGGAACCCGCAACCTTCTTGCTGTGAGGCGACCGCTGCACTACCGTGCCACCTGTTTGAAAATTATATTCATCTTAATTATTACAATCGATGGTGGTTATTTCATGACCATATTTTACCTCATTCAGGTGCAGCTGATGGATGACACCTAAAATCAGGTTCTGGGGTTGCGCCTTTTTAATGTTGAAGCAGTGACCTGCTTATAGTGCCTCGCAAACATGTTTAATCCCCTGCAAAGAGAGCGATGATGAATGTGGGTAAAACAGGAGATGACTTGGCATTATAACTTTGGTCTTGACTTCCTGGCCACTTTCTCACCTGGTTCTCTCCTCTCTCTCTTTTTGTTGTAAACCAAAAGGCAAACATAACAACCAAACATAGAATTTACATATAATAAGAGGTAAGAATCCGTATCAGTTCATAATAATGATGTGTGAGACCACCTCCTTTATGATCTGATACCAAATAATGTCACCAATAACGCTTTTATTTGTAGTTTAATGTGACTCCCAGTCTTTGCACACACATCACACAGCGTCTTTACTGCATGTTATTTCACACCACAGTAATCCAGTAGACATTTTTGACATATTTCAAAACTGATCTATCTTACTACAACACATTCTCAGTCCAGACACTCGGTCAAGACATCTTTGTGTCACTTTTTAACGCCCCTTTATCGTCTTTTAGGGCTCCGCAATCAAGTTAGCAACGATAAATATGCAACGTCTGGTGTGAATTTCAAAATAGTTAACATTGCGAAGTGTCTATGAAGATTCTCAGTCATCCAGGACCACCATGTGCACATTTTAGACAGAGAAGATGGATGGTTTGAAAGAGGTGTCAAGGCATCTACACCAGGGTTGAGAAGCCGTCATTGAACAGAGGAGGGGGTCTACGCCACCACTTATCCCCCACTTACAATACTGTCCTTTCATCACTTCCCAGGAAACTCAACAAACGTAACCTATTGACCTCAGGTGAAGATACCAACGATGGTCGTTCAGTCTTGGCCACAGGTAGTCTTAACGACTGTAACGACTGTCGTCACAGCAACAAGGAACACTAACGAACCAGCGGTATCGATGACCCGAGATAACGACCCCACTGAGGTTAAATAGCTGAGTTTCCCTGCCAGTCAGTCAGAACTGAAGAAGTCCTTTGGATGAGGGACGAAAAGGCCTTCTAGTATCTTCAACCAAGTCCAGTTGCCCTTGACTTTTACCTTCGTTGGTTAACATTGCGAAACATCGCCATTGTGACATACGTCCTAACGTAGGAGTAAACTTGCACACAGCTGCACATCCTGTGTGCTCAGTTTGAAACTAGGGCTGGGGTCTGTGCAGATTCTCTCTGCTATGATATAACTCTGTCTGTTTACTGTCTAATAAAGAACAAATTATTACTACATTATATTAGTGTACATTAAAATACAGTGTGTCCAGTGCTTGCGTTGGCGTATGTAGCCACCTGTCGGAAGCTCTGTCTTAAACCGAACTCTTATCCAGTTTTAATCCACTCTTTTTCGTTACATTTTTTTATATCCTTTTTATTTAACTTGAGTTTTACTTGGGTTAAGGATTTTAGCCATCCGACATGGATTTTAAGCTAGATGACCGTAAAAACGCGATCAACGCTACTGATCGCAACAAAGCTCCGGTGACTACGCTAGCCGAGATAACTCTGCCCCATGAGGACTGCTCACTCCTTAAGAAAGCGAACAAGAAGATTGCTGACCTTATGGAAGACATCCGACGACTTTCAGAGGAACTCAAAGAGAAAGATTCCCTGCTGACTGGCTTTATGGATGTAGCTTCAGTACAAGCCAAACAGATTGTTTCTCTTAGCACAACCGCTAACATCCAGGACACCGTGTTTTGGGACCCTTCTAGTCTTCCCAGGCTTTCATCCTGCTCGACTCCAAAGCATCAGTCAACCTGGGCTGAAGTGGTGGTCCGTGGCTGCAAGAGAGGCTCGGACGGGGCTGCCTCTCCTCCGCACATCGGCCTCTCCAACCGCTATGCAGCCTTGTCTAACGACACTCCGGTCCATCCAGCAAATGCACCAGCGGCTTCAAGTCTCCCTGATACGGATCTCTTTCGGCGCACAGTGCCTGCCGACACTGTTGCATCTCCTTCACCGGCTATATCTCCCGCGCTGGGCCGCCGGTTTGCCGCCGGGCCTGATCGGCAGCCGTCATCCCAGTCAAAAACCTTCGCTTCCCGACGTAGGATCCTGAAGGAGGCTGTGCTCAGACGCTCCGGAGGCCGTCTCCACCCTGCACCGTCGGGCAGCCCTTCTCTCAGGTCTGTTACTGCTACTCCAACACAACACTCGGCAGCTCACACACTCCATCCTCAGTCCGCACGCAGTGTTGAAGCAGATTCTGCTCAGTCCTGCTCTGGATCCACACAACCGGCATCTCCTCGTCCTCTTTTCTCCCCAACCACACTAATAATTGGTGACTCCATAACCAGAAACATCCGTTTCTTTAACGCTACCACTCGCTGCTTCCCCGGTGACACCACGGCTGACATTTAAAAAAAACTCCAGGACCTGATGCCATCGCTCCCGTCCTCCATCACAAGAGTGATAGTCCACGTGGAAACAAATGACACAGCTATTCGGCAGTCTGAGCTGACAAAATTAGATTTTAACCGTCTTCTTAACTTTTTAAAGCAGTGTGGAAAGTCCGTTTTTATCTCTGGTCCCATTCCCACAGTTGGTCGCGGTGCTGGCCGCTTCAGTAGACTCCTTGGCCTCCACGACTGGCTCCAGCCCGCCTGCAGGGCTCACCGTGTGTTTTATGTGGATAATTTTAATATTTTCTGGCAAAGAATGTCTCTTTTTAAGACAGACGGACTTCACCCAAACAAACGGGGCTCAGAAATGTTAGCTGCTCACATACAGCATGTGGTGCGGTCCACACATGACTTACGTGAATGACTAATCATTCAAGCAGCACACCTGGACACACCACCGCTCACTGAACAGATCTCTGGCTCACTGCCACAAACAACTGTCTCCACCTGCTGGCATGTAAAGCCGTCTGCTCCCAGCGCTGTTCCAAAGATTTCTATTCCTGTCATCATCACGCATAGACCAGTAAACCGAAATGTGCACATCCCACACAGAAATATTAGTAATCTCTTAAGGATTAGGACAACTGCACCAACTCCAGCACCCAGAACAAACTCATTTAAAATGGCTCTCTTCAATGTGAGATCACTGTCAAGTAAGACTTTTATCTTAAATGATTTTATCTTGTCTGCAAATCTAGATTGTATGTTTTTAACTGAATCCTGGTTGCAAATGAATGACTATAGCCAGCTAGCTGAACTGTGTCCGCCTCAATATGATTGTTTTAGTCAACCGAGGGTCAGTGGTCGTGGTGGTGGGCTAGTGAGCGTGTACAGGAAATATTTAAAATGTCATCAAGTACGCTGTGATGAATTTAACTCCTTTGAAGTTCTCACTCTTAAAGTTGGAGGGCTGCAACCTATCATATTTGTTATAATTTATCGCCCCCCAAAACCGCCTGGAGGATTTTTATCAGAACTTCCTGAATTTTTATCTACTCTGGTTTTAAATTATGACAGAATTGTTCTTTGTGGCGATTTTAATATTCATGTTGATGACCCCAACAATGTTAATGCAACTGACTTTTTAAATATGGCCACTTCTTTTAACTTCAAACAACATGTCAAAGGGCAAACACATAACCGTGGTCATACACTGGACTTGGTTTTTACCCTGGGTGTCAGCATTTCCTCTGTGGAATTAGTGGACATGACCATATCTGACCACAGATGTATTGTTTTTAGCTGCGATTCGCCTGTTACTTATGCCGCCTCACCAAGCTCCGTGTGTTCTCGCATCTTTAATGAACAAAGTGTTTAAAAGTTTTGCGCATTCTTTCAGAGCCAAAGCCAAAACCTGTCTGATTCCAACACCAACAATCTGGTCGATCACTTCAATCATATCTGCTTGTCGTCACTAAATATTACTGCTCCTCTAAAGGTTAGGCCTACGTCTAAAGCTAGTAAGCAACCCTGGATAAATGACAGCATTCGCAGCCTCAAAAGGGAATGCAGGAAAGCAGAGCGCAGATGGAAAAAATCCAGTCTCCAAGTCCATTACCTCAGTCTGAAGGATTTATTAATTAACTGCAATAACATGGTTAAGGATGCGAGAACACACTATTTTTCTGAACTCATTACTACACATAAACACAATCCCAGGTTTCTGTTTAAGACTGTGGATCAGCTGGTAAACCCAACCCCTCCTTACGCCTCAGCTGGAAGTAATGATGACTGTTAATTGTTTTTATCTTATTTTACCAATAAGGTGGTGTCAATCAGAGCCTCTTTTACCCCCGCGGCCTCTTACTCAGAGGTTCCTCACCAGCAACAAGAGAGTTTTAACCAGTTTTATCCCATCGACTTGTCTGAGCTTTTAAAAACAGTATCACAAATGAGAGTGTCCTCCAGCCCACTTGATGTAATACCTACAAAATTTTTACTGAAAGTAATAGATTCTGTTGGGCCCCATTTGATCTCTGTTTTCAACAGCTCCCTATCTACTGGTTGTGTCCCTGATTATTTTAAAACGGCTTGCGTGAACCCACTTTTAAAGAAACCTGGTTTAGATCCCTCTCTCCCACATAATTTTAGACCAATTTCAAAACTGCCTTTTATTGCAAAGATTCTAGAAAGAATTGTGTCCAAACAGCTGCTCACTGTACTGGAAAATAACAAAATATTTGAAAAGTTTCAATCTGGTTTCATGAAGTACTACAGCACTGAGACTGCCCTGCTTAAAGTCACCAATGACCTTTTAATGTCTGCTGATGAAGGCATGTGCTCAGTCCTGGTACTTCTGGACCTTAGCGCTGCTTTTGACACCATTGATCACAACATCATGTTAGACAGACTGAGGCACTGGGTGGGGATTTCTGGTACTGCACTAGAATGGTTTTCATCCTACCTGTCAAATAGGAAGTTTTGTGTGTCTGTAAACAACTATGTCTCTTCGTTCTGTCCAGTTAAATATGGTGTGCCTCAGGGGTCGGTCTTAGAACCCATTTTGTTTTACTTGAATCTGCTTCCCCTTGGACATATTATCCATAAACATGGCATTTCTTTTCATATTTATGCTGATGACACACAAATATACTTGCCCGTCAGATCCACAGACCCTGGAATGCTGAGTTCACTTAACAACTGCCTTTGTGAAGTTAAAAAATGGATGTCAAATAATTTCCTCCAGCTTAACCCAGACAAAACAGAAATCCTGGTCATTGGGTCTCGGCAGATAGCAAATCAAATACTGCCATCTGTTGGTTCCCTAGTAAATCACATTAAGCCTGTGGCAAAGAACCTTGGTGTTTGGTTTGATAGTAATTTAAATTTCGAGCAGGACACCACAAAGCTTGTTCAATCATGTTTTTATCAACTTAGAAATATAGCTAAAATTCGATCTATGTTAACTTTTAAGGACACCGAGACCATTTTACACGCCTTCATCTCATCACGCCTGGATTATTGCAACAGCCTTTTCACCTGTTTAACCCAAAAATCTATTGATCGACTCCAGACTTTCCAGAACTCAGCTGCCAGGCTTTTAACCAGAACAAAGAAATATGACGACATTACTCCTATTTTAGCTTCATTACACTGGCTCCCAGTATGTTTTAGAATTGACTTTAAAATTCTATTGATCACTTTTAAAGCTCTTCATGGCCTCTCGCCTTGTTATATTTCTGACCTTTTAGTCCCATACGCACCAGCACGTACCTTGAGATCCTCAGGCAGAGGTCTGTTGTCTGTTCCAGAGTCTCGACTGAAAACTAAAGGGGACAGAGCGTTTGCTGTCAGGGCCCCGAGGCTCTGGAACAGCCTGCCCGAGGAAATCAGGTCGGCTGAGTCAGTGAACTCTTTTAAGTCCCTTCTTAAAACATACTTTTATAGGAGAGCCTTTCCCGATCTTATTTGACTTTATTTTATCCCTTTTATTTTATTGTATTTTACAAATTTTATATTAATTTTTCATGCTCTTATCTTGTTTTTTTTGTATTATTGTCTTTACACTTGTTAAAGCACTTTGTAACTTGTTTTTGAAAAGTGCTCTACAAATAAGGATTATTATAATTATTATTATTGAAGTGGAAACAATAGGGGTCGGTAGTCCTCATTTACATGTTACACTGAATGTGTCCTCAAATAAAATTTGTTATTTCTATATCTAATATCAACATGTGGCTGTTTGTCTGTTCACTACAAGCAGGTTGTTCTGTGTTGTAGAAAGTCCAGATGTCTTGTTTCATGTAAAACCTCAAACCAACCTGAGTGTGATTTCTCTTTAGTTCTGACCTCACTGCTGAGCTGCACAACAAACCAAGGTGAGAAAACTTCTTCTGTCACAGCTGAAAAGTTATTCACTCTCTGATAGAACAGTTAGTGTTTGTGGAGGGAAACAGCCACTTTACAAATACAATAAAACACTGAATGCAGTTTTGATGCCACAGTGTTGCAGACTGGAGCCAAAGTTAAAACTGCTGATATAAAAATGTAATTCAGAAACTGCACAGCACGATACAGCTGCTAGAAGGTACACACCTAATCATATACATGTTGTGCTCCTTCTTTTGATGGTCCGGTAGGCTATAGTTGCCCTTACAACAGGAGGATTATGGGAAGAAAATATTGATTGGTAAAAGAGATCAATAAGCAAGTCACAGAAAACAATAAAATTCTCAGTGTTTAATGTGCCAACTTTGATATTTGAGATTCTGATTTCTTCCCTTAAAAATCTGTGAAACTGTAGATGTTGAAAAAGTAGGAATATGAGGAATGTGGAGAAAAAAACCCCACATGTCTAACCACATCTTTCTGTCTTTTCCTCCAGCCTCTCTGACTGTGAGTCCCAACAGCTCTCAGTTTTTCCGCTGGAAGTCTGTCTCTCTGAGCTGTGAGGAGGACGACAGCTCTGCTGGATGGACGCTGAGGAGGAACACAACCAGAGAAACCAGGACTCAGTGTGGAGCTGGCTGGGGAAGATCAGCTGGTTCTTCATGTAACATCAGCTACCTCGACCCAGTGGACAGTGGAGTTTACTGGTGTGAGTCCAGAGAGGGAGCAACCAGTAACACCATCAAGATCACTGTCACTGGTAAGATCAGACTGTGGAGTTAGTGTTGATGAAGCTGTGTGTAAATGATGAAATGCTGTAGTTTGTCTCTGTGTTGAGGTGGACCAGTGATCCTGCAGAGTCCTGTCCTCCCTGTGATGGAGGGACATGATGTCACTCTGCACTGTAAAACAAAGACCCCTCCCTCCAACCTCCCAGCTGGTTTCTATAAAGATGGCTCCCTCATCAGGACTGAGCCTACAGGTCACATGACCATCCACCATGTTAACAAGTCTGATGAAGGCCTCTACAAGTGTGACATCAGCGGTCGTGGAGAGTCTCCATCCAGCTGGATCTCTGTCACAGGTGAGCAGCTCAAAGATAATTCTCAAACTGACCTTGTTTTGTTTTCTATATTGAGTTCAGCAGGTTTCAGGACAGCAGAGATGATTCATGATGTGACAACATTTATAACTTTGCAATCTGCAAAGAAACAAGAGTGAAATCTGTCAACCCACCGTTTGATATGGGATCTTTTTAACTCTAAACCAGACTGACATAATGAATTTACTTTTGTGTCTTTCTGTTAGCATGTTGTTGAATAAATTATCCATTTATTTTATTTTCTGTGCCTTTAATTATAATTTATTGTTCAATTTAGTGAAACCCACCACTACAAGTCCTCCTTCAACCTCCTCTCCTCCTGGTTCCTCCTCTACTTCTCTCTCTGTATTGTGGTTGGCCGCTCTATCTTTCTGTGTTCTGGTTCTTCTGGTTCTTCTGGTTCTACTGGTGAGACGATGCCTCCACAGGAAACCTAAAGGTTAGTCACAGACTCCATGTGATGCAGTTCACATTTAAAGTTTCCATTAACACTTCTGGACGTACAAATAATAACAAGTTACAAACTGTTTCTTTAAGTCAGACGTCCATCAGGATTCTCATAAATCACATTGCTGTTGTTAATAAAACAATCTCACCACAGGGTCCATTTAGTGAGCTGTGGAGCTTTTGATCAAATCACATGACCTTCCTTGATTTAAATTTCTGCTCATTTTGGTTCATTCAGCTGCTGAAGTTGGAGATGATGACATCACAGACCTACAGCAGCCAATCAGATACAGCAACGGTAAGAATGTTTTGTAGACTTTTTAGGGACAGTGAGTGTGTGCTATTGTTCTTATGTCTACACTCACCTAAAGGATTATTAGGAACACCATACTAATACTGTGTTTGACCCCCTTTCGCCTTCAGAACTGCCTTAATTCTACGTGGCATTGATTCAACAAGGTGCTGAAAGCATTCTTTAGAAATGTTGGCCCATATTGATGGATAGCATCTTGCAGTTGATGGAGATTTGTGGGATGCACATCCAGGGCACGAAGCTCCCGTTCCACCACATCCCAAAGATGCTCTATTGGGTTGAGATCTGGTGACTGTGGGGGCCATTTTAGTACAGTGAACTCATTGTCATGTTCAAGAAACCAATTTGAAATGATTGGAGCTTTGTGACATGGTGCATTATCCTGCTGGAAGTAGCCATCAGAGGATGGGTACATGGTGGCCATAAAGGGATGGACATGGTCAGAAACAATGCTCAGGTAGGCCGTGGCATTTAAACGATGCCCAATTGGCACTAAGGGGCCTAAAGTGTGCCAAGAAAACATCCCCCACACCATTACACCACCACCACCAGCCTGTACAGTGGTAACAAGGCATGATGGATCCATGTTCTCATTCTGTTTACGCCAAATTCTGACTCTACCATCTGAATGTCTCAACAGAAATCGAGACTCATCAGACCAGGCAACATTTTTCCAGTCTTCAACTGTCCAATTTTGGTGAGCTCTTGCAAATTGTAGCCTCTTTTTCCTATTTGTAGTGGAGATGAGTGGTACCCGGTGGGGTCTTCTGCTGTTGTAGCCCATCCGGCTCAAGGTTGTGCGTGTTGTGGCTTCACAAATGCTTTGCTGCATACCTCGGTTGTAACGAGTGGTTATTTCAGTCAAAGTTGCTCTTCTATCAGCTTGAATCGGTCGGCCCATTCTCCTCTGACCTCTAGCATCAACAAGGCGTTTTCGCCCACAGGACTGCCGCATACTGGATGTTTTTCCCTTTTCACACCATTCTTTGTTGTGTGTGAAAATCCCAGTAACTGAGCAGATTGTGAAATACTCAGACCGGCCCGTCTGGCACCAACAACCATGCCACGCTCAAAATTGCTTAAATCACCTTTCTTTCCCATTCTGACATTCAGTTTGGAGTTCAGGAGACTGTCTTGACCAGGACCACACCCCTAAATGCATTGAAGCAACTGCCATGTGATTGGTTGATTAGATATTTGCATTAATGAGAAATTGAACAGGTGTTTCTAATAATCCTTTAGGTGAGTGTATGTGAGGACAAAGTTGAGTTTCTGACCTTGAGAGGACATTTTTATAAAATTTGGAAATTGTAGAAAGAATGTTCATCAAAATAAATTAAATGTAAAATCAAATATAAGTGGTTGTGCTCTGCATCTAAACCCCAGCAGCAACTTCCTCCTGTTGACACCAGTGAGCTGAGGTCTGATGCTGGTGTCGTTTCTCATTATAGTGTGATCTGTTTTAGCTGATAGTGTTGTGTCTGTCTATTTTTGTGCTGAAATATGTGAACTTATTTTGTGGTCCTCTAGTTCCCTGTTTCAGATAAATACCCTCCAGTTATATTTGGTCTTTCACCTTTCACAGTGTTAAGAAGAAAACTATCAAACCTGCTGCCCTTTATAAAGTCTATAATACAACTTATTATAATTCTATATATCTATACTTATTATGATTCTACATATGAAAAGTAATGAAATTATTTCTGCAGTAGTATTAAGTACATGTGCTGCAGTACGAGTATTATTAGCAGTAAATATCAGCACTTCTAACAGCTGTAAGTTGACATTTCTGTCTGTATCTCGGCGATCTTTTATGCCAGTTTAGTCAAAATGTGGTACACACTAGTGACACGTGTCTGCTGTTAAATTGCAGAACCGTTATTTCTGCAGCACGGATGTGAACAAAATGCATGTCTCAAACACACGGAGTCAACGTTACATTTCACAGCATAGTCTAATAATAATAATTGGTGTTTGTGTGTAGGGCTGATCCAAGTATCATAGTTACTGTAAGTCATAGTGAAATAGTATTCAACATAATAATAAAACCATGTGAATATTAGTGTGTTTGTTTTACGTCATCACAGTGGTGACAGACACACTGAAATTCAAAGACTTAAATACAACTAAACATTTTTATTGTTGTTTCATCTAACCCAGACTCATTAAAGCCATGACCTAGCTTACCTTACAGCCTACAGCTAAAGCATTAGCACTAACAATTTACATTAAAGACATCTACATAGACACACAATAAACATGATTTAAGTGTGATTAGTTTAACTAAAAATAAATGAACTATTATTTTTATTATGCGGAATAAAGACTAAACTGAGCAGGTGCAGAGTGAATCAGGTGATTTGTAACTTGTTCGTGGTTGGAGAAATTGGACGTGTTATAACTGATCTGTGTTTCATCCCTGGTCTCCTCTACCTGAAGTAATGTAATTTGTATTTGTTTTATTTTCCAGAGTGTTATTCAGCTGCAGTCTACTCAGCAGTTAGAAGAGCAGGAGATGTCAGTTATGGACAATTAGCCATCAGACCACACAGGAGGAGAGGTACAACTGCTCTTTATTTAATAGATGTGTAGATAATGTGATGTTTGTATTTGTGTTGTGCTGTTTGTATTCGTGTTGTGGTGTTTGTATTTCCGTTGTGGTTTTTGAATTTGTGTTGTGGCTTTTGATGTGTGACCGCATTAGATGGACAAAAGAAACAAGTGTTTCAATAAACCGGACAATGACTCCTGACTGTGTTAAAGTACTAACTCATCTGGCATGTGATTGTGACAATAGCCTTGTTTCCATCAACGCTTTTTTCATGCACATTTTGAAGTATCGCATCAGAAAAGGTTGATGGAAACGGCAAAATTCCTTAATTTCTCAAGAAAGTTTTTACGCTCGCTTGAGGTGGTTTTTGCCTTTCGCGAAAAAGAGTAAATACGCTAAATTTCCGAAGTTCTGACGTAGCGAACTTGTAAGTTAGGTCTGATCAGCTGTTTCCGCTCTGGGCGTCTTGCCGGATATTGCCATAATGAGCGGAGACATGGCTGGCAGCAGTTTGCCCACTTTAAACACACTTCAGATCAATGGCCCTCAGGTCCATGCGACTGGTTTTGTTTCTGGCTTGGAACCCAAACGTCTTGTTTATTAAAGCCATGTGTAATGTCAACTACTGATGTAACTACGCTCGCCATAGCCTGGTTTATTCGCTCCAAACCAGCTGATGGAAACGCATATACAATTGGATTTACTTTTTTGTGACATTCCAAAAATCACCTTAAAATTCACATGGCAATTTGGTGGCACAATGGCTAATGACACATGAAACAAAAACAAACTTACAGCTTCAGTAAATTTAGTTTCCATGATTGAAAGGGAATTATGTCTTATTACACATGCTCTTGTTCAACAGGAAATTGCAGCCAAAAAAAAGGACGCATGAGAATTTGACAAGGAAACAGAGATGTTGGCGGAAACAGGCAATGAGAAAAGTAACAATTGAAGATTGTTGCAGCTAAGGGAGGGGTTATTTCTTTTGTTTATCTGCAAGAGTCGAGGAACAGAGAGTTGACCGTGTGGAAAATACCAGGCTTATTGGGACAGGGAGCCCTAGAGGTTTATGTGATCTCGATTACTGAATAAGTGATTGTTCTGTGTTTGGTACTCATCTGAGAACATATTAGGTCGTTTGGTCAGTCTGATAATTTGCATTTATTATATTCTAACTAAAACTGATTAAATCTCATTTCCAACATTTAATACTTCTAAGAATTGGGTTACTTTTAACAATCAAGTATTCTCTGATATTCGTTTTAAGTATCACTCCTTGCATCTGATAGTTATTAATAATTCATCTTATTCAAACATTTATTATCTAACAAATTTCTTGTTATATTGTGTTTGTTATATTTGAATGTTTTGTATCTTATGGCATTTATTGGAATCTATATTTCTATGTATTCACTTTTATGTGTTCAATAAACATTTGCAAAATTCACTTAAGCCCATAGTAATTTTTGATTCTTGTATTTGCACAAGGAAAAGTGTCTCCACAATCTGAAAGTTGCAAAGGTCATATCATTATTAAAAAGTAGATCCTAGTCTTTTCACTGATTGCCGACCAATTTCTATTTTACCTGCTTTTCTAAAGTTTTGGAAAAGTTATGCATGAACACCTGAATGATAACAATATCGTGTAT